CGCTGAGATAAGGATAGTCGCGTCGCTCACTCGCTGTGTCGCGGTCATTTACCTCACTATAGAGAATACAGTACGGAACACGGTACGTCAACAAAGGACAAGTGCTAGCGTCATATAGCTACGAATTTCGAGCCGATGTCGACGCCGCGGCTTTAAACGATTATATCGGCGCGTTAATTATTATTCACCTCGGACGATTAGAATATTTCGTCGGATAATCGTCTTGTAATATTTAATTGAACTGTCGTCTACATCGCGTAACATGCGTATTTTTAATCGAATTGTATCTATGGTAGTGTTAGTGCTAGTGTCAGTGTTAGTGCCAGTGCTATGACGGAGCAATCAGGATGGATCGAGAAGCCAAGACAAAGGATGCGGGACATCGGGACACTGGCGGTGTATATTATACTATACTATCAGGTATATCATATATTATCAGGTATGTGAAATTATTTATTATAAAGAATATTTACGATTCTAACGGACATTTAACGAATCTACGAGAGTAAAGAGATATCTGAGTCGAAATTTGAGCCGGAATTCATAGTTATTATTCAATAATTCATGAATCTTTGATTATTCATTAATTTATATCTGTACCAAATTTTTACAAAAGAAAAAATATCATATATCAAAAACAACATTTTAATCCAAAAGGCTGAGTAGAGTTTCATGAATATATGAATCTGTAATTAATTATGCTTTCAATCGAAGCATTCTAAACAATTCACACCATGACACACCGACTTTAGAATCCCATTTATATTAAGAAATTAAGAATAAAAATTAAATGCAGGTAGAATATTAAGGCAATCAAATATTAAATAATTCTGAAATGTCTTTAAGTTTCAACGCGAGGAAAAACGGCTGTAAATAAATATTGATACTATCAATATAAGATAATAGTCTGTGTAATGTTACGTTTCGAGATTTTCCATTAATTTTTCGATTTCGATAGAGTGTGCGGGGTTAATAAAGAATCAAAATTTCGACTCAGCTGAATATGTGTACGCGAACCTCCTGTGAAAAGAACAGGCGTTCTTTGTGTTTCTATACGGTGTATCCGATAACCATCCTTGATGGTGCACTAGAGCTTAAAAGAGGATCACGGAAACGTCGAGGGTGCTGCACCCTCCTTTTATCATTTTTCATTACTGACAAGGGTTGATCTAAGCAGGATATCGAACATGAGAACACTTGTCTCTCGCGCGTGTCAAACGCAGCTCTTTTTACACATCCTGCATCTCAACAAAGTAAATCTTAAAGTATTCGTTATTGATACTCGTAACTAAAATTGTGTATAGATGCTCTCTCAACATCGCGAAAAGCAATAACACATCTTTTTCTTTCTTCCAATGTGCATTCTTAAGATAAACGTTGATTTTAACACATTTTATTTTACACTGAAAGAAAAATTATCTTAAAATCAACAAATATTTTTTTGATGTTAACATATTTACTTAAATCTAAATTCTCTTTATTTAAATTAAATATTGTTTACCTAATTTAAGTAAACAATATTGGCTTAAATAAAGAGAATTTAGATTTAAATAAATATGTTAATGGCACTCATCAAAGAAATATTTGTCGATTTTAAGGTAATTTTTCCCTCAGTGTATACTGTATATAAGTGCGCTCAAGCTCGCGTTTTATCGTCGCCTCAGTTACGTGCATCGGTTACACAAATCGTGCACGGAAAAAAATTCAGCTCGAGTAATTGAATGACGATCATTCATCTGAGCATTCAGCTACAGTAAAAGTCGGATTTGAGATAACTAAGAGTAATTGACTGATGAGTAGAAATCTCCTGAGTAGAGGAACCTTTCTGTTCCTACAAGATCCGAGTTCTTCGTCCAATCCCCAAGTAACAGAAAATTCAGTTAATCTAACGGAGTGGTTTTTTCCATATATATATATATCGCGTTTATCTCAGTCAACCCCGTAATTTCTAATTTACCGCATGAAGATTCTATGCGAAGCAGGCGAGGCTACGTAAAGAGAAGCGCTTACGCGCTTCTTCCCATCAATTCCAGCGTAGAAGTAACACGAACGGAAGCCTGCGCGCTCGCACGCGGGGTTACAGGAGCAACCGGTATAAATCTCGGCGGGGCATCTTTAATTCCGTCGATACGGCCGAGGCGATAAAACAGTCCGGCCGAATATACGAGTAGATTGAATCCCGCTAATTACGGTTAATTACGGCCGCCTTTTCGTCCTGCCTACTCAACTCCTCCTCCTTCTCCTCCTCCTCCTCCTTCTCCATGGAAAATTGCGTGAGCGCGCGCTACCAGTCTCGTGGACGGGGAACGCGATCTAAGTGATGTGAACTGACCCTTATTCTGAACTCTCTTAAAAGTGCCCGATTCTTCGACGATAGCTTAACTTGGATTGAAGTTTAAACTCTGTTCCAACAATGTTTTTGATGTGACTGAGCAGAATTTTAAACCTAAGTCTAAACTGCTATTGAAAAATCAGTCCTAAAGGTCTTGTACAAAATGCAAGCTTTTTGTTTGGCTTATATGCACATTTTGAAGACACTTTTGTGGATAAAACAGAATCCAGAATAAGAATTTTAGTCTCTCTTGAGATAGACAGAGAGAGAAAGCCACATTCGAGTGGATCCAAAAACGCACGCACCCTCTCACGATGCGCTATCGGCCGGTCCATAGAGCATCGCTTCCGCAGTGCTCACCTTCAAGGCAGCGTAACAGACGCCGCGAACGAGCGTGGAATCGATTCGTCGAATACCGAAGTGGTAACGCGACGTGAAGCGGCCGCCGAGACCCCGGAAAAGCAGCGAGATGTGTAACGGAATCAGCGATCGAGCGGTCGGTTGGCGGATGGATCGGGATCGATAGGTCGCGCCGATGATTCGCCGTCATTAATTTCGATCCCGCGAACAGGAGATGCCTCTTCGCGCGCGCGAGAACGGACGAGATCCATCACTCGCGCGCAATGCGACAATAGTAACTATACGATAATAATAATGGTAACGATAACTTCCTCTTGCGCACACCTTCTCATTCTCTCGCCCTTTCCCGACGACGGCCGTGAGGGCGATTAGGATCGTGGGGATTATTGAGAATCGATGGAATCGCGCCGGGATATCGGGTTATTAATTCCAATAACCTCGCGGTCGGTATCGACTTGCGGGCGCACGCGTTGCGTTCCCTCCGTTTAAATTAAAAAATCCGGCCCGGCGAGAACGTTCTCGCTCTTGCGTTGCCGCGCGTTTCGCTCCCTCAATGATCAATGATTCATACGGCGCTCGCAATTAATAACGACAGCGGGGCTGAGGTCTAAACCGCGGCCGAAAGTAGAGACAATCATTTAGAATCGTGTCGATGCCCGGGAATCGAGTTATTAATTATATCACAGCGGTCCACTCGGTTATAAGCGTACGTATTATCGGTTTGTTTCGGAGTCACGAAGTAATCGTTTCAGACGTCGATAATTAAAGGAGACCTGGGGATGCTCACGGTGGTGTACGGAGCAATCTAACATTATTGTTCGTCATATTTTTGTGTGTAGATATTTCCCTCGTATACATTATATATAAATGTCAAAATAAGTTACTTGTGTCATAAATATCGTACAGAATACGTGTATGCACGTGTGCGTAGAGCTGTGATTGTGTAGAGCTGTAAGCTTGTTTTTGTGCAGTAAATAACCACACTGCACCTGCGATGAAAAATCGAAGAAATTATTGCTGAAATATGATGACTAAGATAAAAGTACCAATGTCTGAACACGTACTTAACTCTGTGTGTGTATGGACACACGCATTCTTATTCTCTATTATATTTAATTTAAATATTTGTATATTTAATGCGAAAATATCAACATATCTGGGACACACACCTGATCCTGGACATTCTTATTGTTTTGGTCTCTAAATACGAATATTTAAATTTTCAATATAGGATACATGCACATTATACTTATTTTATGTTGAAAGTTCAAATATTCATATTTGAAGAGATCTTACTTCATAGATTAAATAGATTTATCTATCTATACTCACGCGGATAAAATCACGCCGAAATCTTATTATGAAGATTTATAGCTTTACGGAATCGCGTAACCGGCGGAGAATTTTGCTTAACTTTACACTCATTTCTGCAATCTTTTCCCGACTGCATGCGACTCGGGTGCGATATTTACGACTGGTGTGGGTAATATCGGGTAATATCCCGTAAAAAACCGAGAGCCAAATCCGAAGGTCGACGCCATCACTTAGAATCGACAGAACTATGTCGATCGCGATGTATACGGTTATTAATTATCGTAATTCTTCGGACATACACACATACAGGACAACGACTCGCGGTGCGCCCAATCGTTCCCGACGCGATGCTCGTCCGGCGCGGTGATTAAAGGGACGACGCGCGTTGCTCACGGCGACGTAGCAAGTAGTTGGGCGATTTCATTGATTTCGCCGACCTCTCGCCGATACACGTCCGATCGATCTCGTATTCGTTTCGGCCCGCCGCGATCTTAATGGTCGGCCTGGGGTTCAGCACGGGAGAGAGAGAAACGGGAAGAAACGGCTCGACTCAGCTCCTTGACCGTACGATCGTTAATTATTCGTGCCACGGTCGTACACGTCGTGACGAAACCGCGAGACCGACCGACCGACCGACCGACCGACCGACCAATCGGCCGATCGACCATAGCGCGCGAGTAGTCGAAATAACGATAATTGATGACCGATAACGCTCGTTAATACGCGGCGCGACTTTAGCGCGTCGTGCGCAGAACGCACGTAATCGATTCTGATGAGGCTCGTCGTAGGTCGACGTGAAAACGGAAATCAAGCCTTGATTCTGTGCCCGCC